GTATGTTAGATCTTTGAAAAAATAATTCAGGACTTGAATACTGCATTTGGACACTTCGGTACTTTGACTTTCAAGTGTTCTGCATTCCCACTCATCTCGGCAGATTTGAAAAAGGTTCAGGACTTTTGAAAACCAGACTACTTTTCTCAGATTAGCTTTAACCACAGCATTAAGGTGTTTGCTATGACTGTAACTCTCTTAACAGCAGTTTGATTTGGACTGCATAGCTGCACTGCAAAGCACATGAACAGCTAGAGAGCTTATGCCATCTTCATTCCCAGTGCAGTAAGCAGAACCAGTCATAACTCAGGCTGTGGAAGGTAAAGTAACTGGATCTGACTTCAGTAGACTTCAGAAACTCTTTACGTGGGCTTACCTTTTCCTCTGCGGTGCTCTAAATTGGGAGCTGGTTGCTACTGGGATGCCCCCTCCTCAGGAAGGAAGCTTTGTAGCAAATGGGCTCTGCTGAAATCCTGACTATCAGATTCTGCACATGCAAGGACAGCTAACTGGGACATCCCATAGCAGCAAAAGATGTTGCTGTTCCCTTAGGCTAAGGTCATCAGTTTTTCATTAGGAAAAATGACTTTGTCCCTTGTATATGCTTAAATGGTTTAAATACTTAAGAGGTAATTGAGAATCATTTCTGCCCCGAGTTAGGAAGGGTAAGTAAGTAGCTACCCCTGGACAGATTACGCAGTTGACTTTTGCGAGGAAAAACATGAAGTTATTCTCATCTGAAGTGCAAAAATATTTGGGCAGAACACAATTTTCCAAGCTGGAATTGGTTTGGGATATTGAAAAATGAAGAACAACTGAAAATAGGTGGATGTGCCCCTGAAATTCAGACTGGCTGCAGATGACTGCTTTGTCATGTCTTCAGTTGATTTATTTAATCTGTCCTTCTGCTTGATACTACTTTTAATGACCTACATTATAGGATCTAAATTTTGTCCCTCACAAAAGGAGAGGGACTTTAGGGGAAACTAAAGAAGGGGGCATTTGAAAGCTGTGGTAGTGAGGAAAGAAAGGGCGAATAGTAGGCTGAGGACCTCTGTAATGCCTTTACCTTAAAGCATAAGTGTGGTCCTTCGCTCTGTTCACCCATATCGTTCACTGGTACTTCTTCACAGATACATAGGCCTTTCTTTTGGGCTCAGCCTCTGAGATGAGATGAACTGGTGATTGTATGGAGTGTTTGCTATAGGTTCCAGTGGCAGGTTTTGTGAAGAGTTCAAGGAGGGAAGAAAGGTCCAGTCGTTGCTGGCTTATGCTTTGGGATACAGGACTGCTGGACATGAAGCAATATGAGGGGCCATGCTTAATGAGTCAGTATGCTTCTAAATGATGAGAGAGGATAGTAATGGTCATCAAATAGATACCAGTCCTGTAATCTCTAGCTCTGACTCTACCTTACCAAGCAGAGGTTTGTCTGGTGTGCCTGTCTTGCACCGCTGGGTTACAGCAAATCTGTCCAACAGTTAGCATCTCTTGGCGATCACCTCTAAATTGGTTTGACGATTTTTTTGTTAAAATTGATTATTTGGCTATGAGTAATTTAAGCGTGGAGGGGTTGTTGGTTTTATTTGTTTGTTAAGCAAGTGTCACCTTTCTGTCTTAAGGTGGTATCTGAGTGCTTTTCTCATTTTTCTGTTCTTGGGTAAGCTCAGTTGCAACCTGAATTTTCTCTGATTTGCCCATTCCTTTGAGCCACAGGTACCTGCTGCAATATCCTTACTGGCTGTGGATCTGTTCTGGGAACTGCCTTTTGCCCTACTTATGTCTTTAGCTCTCTAGTCCTAGCAACTTGCAGAGTGAGGGCAGATTTAGCCTGATCGTTTGGGGAGGCTGCAGAGAAGACCAGAAGAAATGCATTTGTTACTTAATGCTTACTTCCTCTATGTTTTAGGAAAGTATTTGAGACCCTGCTCGTGTAGCATTGAAAGGTTTGGGATATTGAACTTGAAATATGCCTGCTTAAAAAGCAGCACGTTACTTCAAAGCTCTATGAAACGGCTGGGCTTCCTATTTCATATGGAGTGACCAAGTGTTGCTGCGGTTTCTCTAGAGGTGCAGTTAGCCCCCGAAGCTAACTAATCTCAGCAAAAGTATCTGGGAGCTTTGATAAACTGGGTTTTGCGCAGGGTTTGTGTGGGATTAATACACCAGTCCCTAAAGCTCAATTATGCTTTCAGAGCATAATGAAGGGTTTGCAGTTACCTTGGCCATGAATTCAGAGTATGCTGTTGCAAAATTTTTAGTATTGTAAAATCTGATTTTATTGGTAAATATATAATTAGGAAGCTGGCAACTGAAATTAGCATTCCCTTAGTCTTTGCTCACAGAAGCCATTCTTAATATTGAGTAAAGCTTTTTTTCATTCCTGTTTATGAAAGAAGATAATAATAGAAAGCATTCTTTATGAGTTGAAAAATTAGTACTCTGGTGTATTCCTTTATCTCTGGCTGTTCCTCTTTCTTCTAGTACCTGCAGAAAACACACAGCAGTGCCGAAACTATTAGCTCTACGGTCGTTGCACTTTGAAAGCTGTGTCCCCCTCCTCCCAAGCCTTCAAAAAGCACTATTTGGCATCTTTCGCAAAAGAGCTATCCCTTCCTAAGTCTAAAGCTTTTTTTCTCTGTTTAGGAAACTAGCAGTCCTCATAGGCAGCAACCTCTTCAAATCTAGCAAGTTACTTCTGTTAACATGAACAGGCCACCCCTCTAGGTTTCTTGGCTTTCTGCATCTAGGCAGGAGCACTTGCTGTTACATTACTTTGCTTTTCCCCAGTGCTTGCTAGCAGGGGAAAGATTTTTGGAGAAGTCTTTATAGGAACTTCCCTCAGGAAAGGTTAGTCTTCTAGGCATGTAATTCATTATGCTGTGCTGGCCCTAGCATGCTGTACAATGCTGAGGCCAGCAGCCCTCTATGAAACTCTTTAAGTCCTAGAAGCTGTGGAATAGCTGTGAAAGTTGGTCTGGACTGATCAGCACTTCCAGTGGAGGTGAAAAAAGAGCTGAAGAACCTGAGCAGCAGCAGATGGAATGCAGTCCCTGAGCTGCTTGCAGTGGAAATGCAGCTGCGGATCAGGCACTTTCAGAAGCAATAAAGCAGGGATATTTGACTGATATATTTCCTGGTTTTAATATTGGGAAAACACATGACTTACAGTAACACCTTCAGGAGAAGGAGGGAGCACCTAGCTTACAACCTAAGCTATTGCCTTTCACCACTGCTACTTTCAGACTTCTGGGGTATAAGTAGGTACTTGCTTTCAATCTTACTCTGCAGCAATATGGCTAGTCCTGGTTGTGGTCATTCTGAAATGTTTTAATGAATTTGAAAGTAGTCTTGTTGAATAGGCCCTTGAAACTAAACCCAAAACTCAGGTAAACACAGCCATACCTGTTTCTGCTCTTAGGTAATAAAGTGTGATGAAAGCTTTTAAAACATTTTGGATAGTACTTAAAAGCTTTGGCTTAATCAAAAACTAGTTCCCCTAATCACTTTTGTGGGTCTTGGAACTTTCTTTCCATCTTTCCCTTCCTCATACATCGCTGTAGAAAGCAGCCCTCTCACCTGTTGTGCTGGGTATTGTCAGCCCTGTTTCCTTGGATGCAGTATGTTCTGACCAATTTACATGTGAACGTAGCTGTGCAGGACGGCAAAAACTGTAGTGCAGTGAATTGCTTCCTTGGTGTTTGACTCCATAAAGACTTTGACAAAGCCCTGTATTCCTATTTGCTTGACTTCTATGTAGCCCTTTTGTATGGAAACGTTCTTGCCGCTCTCCCAGTTTTCCTTCTTTGCCTTCCGTGCCAGGATTGATTCCTGTTGGTGTCCAAGGGATGGCTGTTTTTTTAAAAACTTTAAGCTAAATCAAAGAACATGCAGAAAAGCCTTCTGTTGATTTACATCTAAGGTAGAACTATGCACCTGTAAAACAAACTTACCATGTGCAGATACCTCTGAAGGTGATGAAATGCTTTAATTATTTGGAGCACTTGATCTTTCTGGTGCTTTGAAGAAGATTCCCAAAGAGATATATTTAATCAAATTTATGTTTATTTCAGGCTTACCCTCTCTAGATCCATCCAACAGCTCTACAACTTCTTCTTCAGGTCCTTTGACAGGCTTTTCAGCAAACATACAAGGAGCACGGGTTTACCTTCAAGGGCCAGCGCCTGTTGGGACTCCCAGCTTTAACAGACAGCATTTTTCACCACATCCTTGGACAAGCGCAACAAATTCATGTAGGAACTTCATGGGTCTGTCTTAGTTATCTATAAATTCTTAGTTATTGTCTATAGTAGTTTTGTAACTTGAGAGGAAAATACTCAGTGATGCACAGAATGTTTTTTTCCAATTGCTTTTAGCATCTGTGAGGATTATGTGCCAATCCTAAAGCTTTACTGATTTCTCTTTTCATGTAAAATGCCACTAGTTTCGGTAGCATTGCTATGGGCATATTTGGGCAAAAATTCAGTCATCCTAGGCTTTAAGAGGAGGGTTTATGAAGTTGTCAGGGAGCAGGAGGTGAGGGTACAAAGCTAAAATTCTCTTCTAAATCATAACAAGTATGACAGCAGGTGAAAATGACATGTCTGCCATGGATTGAAATTATACTTGACTCTTTTACTTGGGAATCTGGAATTATTTAATGTTACCTAAAACGTTCCAAAATCTTCATATATCATCCGAGATAACAGTTGGGTTTTCCTCTTAATGGGAAGAACATGGAAGTAGCTTTACAGAAAATACGGGCCTTTGATTCAGAGTCTTAAGCAGAGAGACTTTTCACGTCATTCATGCAACTTCATTAGCACTCCGAGCTTCAGAACCAAAATGTTTAAATGAGTGCCTAAAAGAAGTTGGACTTCCCAAAGAGAGTCAGTGACACTTTTGAAGTTGGTGGAACTTATGCTCCTATGTTACACGTGTGGCTTTGGGAAGCAGACTTTAGTTTCTCTTCTGCTGGGAGTGGTGGATACCAAAAACAGGCTGCTTCGATGCCTGTGGTATTCTGGCTGATGCTTCACATCTTACTGAAACTCTTCCATGTTTCTTACTCTTTCTTGCGATTATTTTAGATTTAATGTAGTGTCAGGAGAATAATACAGGATTCTGATGGCTGAAAGCATTTGTATTGTAACATTGATTTTTAGAGATAAAATGAATGGAAATTCTGTGAAAGACTGGACAATGTTCAGTACAATGCAAATGCTCTGCCAAAAAAAGCCTAGAAAACCTTTTTATAATTTCGCATAAGATAATGTTGGGGGGAGGGAGGACGTAGCGTTTACACTGGCTAGCTGTGTGCTTTGTGTGTAATTAAGCAAGAGAAATATTCTTTTCACTAGGTGAATCTCCTATTCCATCAGTTTCCTCAGGATCATCTTCACCCCTTTCAGCTGCTTCTGCACCTTCTAACTTGGGCCAGCCAAAAACGGGTAACCCAAATCAGGATCGAAAGGTACCCCCTCCCATCGGGACAGAAAGACTTGCTAGAATTCGACAGGGTGGATCTGTCACTCCAACTCCCTTAGGAACCAACTTTACAGCTCCTGTTGGTCATAGCGGTATCTGGTCTTTTGGAGTTAACAGTGTTTCTGGTAAGTCTGTTTTGTACAGTCTGAGTTAGCATAAAGACACCATCAGGGCTTTG